ATAAATAATGCTTAAAAAATATAAACTTCTGGAGTGGGAAGCGGTGTGGCTGGCTGGTAGATAATAGTGAAAGGTAAGGGTGACTTTCAAGATGGAAACCTTTCCTTCATTGAGTCGTTCGTTTCTTATTTCAATTGCAGTTTCTCTGTTTACTTTCCTTGAAGCTAAAGTCCAGGTCCTAATTTCACGGGTGGACGCTTAAGAACAACTAAAATCATGAAAGCCGCGATAACAATAAAAATGACATTAAAGAAATAAAGAGAAAATGCGTGAATAAAAAAAAGCAAACCTCAAATTATATATGAAAAGGGAAAATAGAAAAATTACTATGTATTTCGGTTTTTTGACGCGTCCACGATAACAAGATAGACACCTACAAAGTGGCAGGAAATAAAATGAATAAAAAGAAAGAAAGAAAGAAAGAACGTGAGAAAGAAAAATATTTATTTCTAAGAAGTATAGGTAAATGGTAGAAGACAAAGAAAGAGATGAAGAAAGAAAAGAAGAAAGAAAGAAAGAAATGATGAAGGCTAAATGGGAAGAGAAAAAAATAAACAGAAAATGGAGAGAGAAAGAAGGATGCGTAAATAGAAGGAAATAAAGCAGGAGATGAAGAAAGAAAGAAAGAAAGAAAGAAGGAAGAAAAGAAAGAAAGAAAGAAAGAAAGAAGGAGGACACGAAAGAAAGAAAGAAAGAAAGAAGGAAGAAAAGAAAGAAAGAAAGAAAGAAAGAAAGAAAGAAGGAAGACAAGAAAGAAAGAAAGAAAGAAAGAAAGAAGGAAGACAAGAAAGAAAGAAAGAAAGAAAGAAAGAAAGAAAGAGGGTTAAATGGGAGGAGAAAAAGAAATAAACAGAAACTGGAGAGAGAAAGAACGAAAGCGAGAATGTATGTATTTATTTAAAAAAAAACATGGGTAAATGAGAGGAGACAATGAAGAAAGAAAGACAGAAGAAAAGAAGGAAGGAAGAAAGGAAAGAAAGAAAGAATGGCAGGAAGAAAGAAGGTGAAAGTTGGGAAGAAAAAGAAATAAGCAGAAAATGGAGAAAGAAAAAGGGAAAGAAAGAAAGAGGAAAGAGAAAAAAGAAATAAAGAAAGTATTTATTACCTAAGAAACAAGCGTAAATGGGAAGAAAGAAAAGGAGAAAAAAGCAAGCAAGCAAGCAAGAAAGAAAGAAAGAAAGAAAGAAAGAAAGAAAGAAAGAAAAAAGATAGAAAGAAAGAAGGTGAATTGGGAGGAGAAAAAGAAATAAACAAAATGATGAGAGAAAAAGTATTTCTTTCTAAGAAGGATGCGTAAATGGAAGGAAATGAAGCAGGAGATGAAGAAAGAAAGAAAGAAAGAAAGAAAGAAAGAAAGAAATAAATAAATAAATAAATAAAAGAATATGTATTTCTAAGAAGTATGGGTAAATGTGGAAAGACAAAGAAAGAGAAGAAGAAAGAAAAGAAAAATGGTGAAATGGAAGAAGAAAAAGAAATAAATAGAAAATGGAGAGAGAGAGAGAGAGAGAGAAAGAAAACAAGAAAGTATGTATTTATTTCTACAATGGATGGGTAAATGGGAGGCGACAAAGACATGGAAGAAGAAATTAAGAAAGAAGGTGAAATAGGAGGAGAAAAAATAACAATGGGGGAAAGAAAGAAAGCGAGAAAATATGTAAATGTGAGGTGGCAAAGAAAAAGATTAAGAAAGAAAGAAAGAAAGAAAGAAAGAAAGAAAGAAAGAAAGAAACAAACAAACAAACAAAAAGGTGAAATGTGAGGAGAAAAAGAAATAAGCAGAAAATGGAAAAGGAAAGAAAAGGAAAGAAAGAAGGTGAATTGGCGGGAGAAAAAGAAATAAACAAAATGATGAGAGAAAGAAAGAAAGAAAGTATTTATTTCTAAGAAGGATGCGTGAATGGGAGGAAATAAAGCAGAAGATGAAGAAAGAAAGAAAGAAATCCTGAAAATATATATTTATTCCTAAGAATGATGGGTAAATTGGAGGAGACAAAAAAAGATGAAGAAAGAAAGAAAGAAAGAAAGAAAGAAGGCAAAAAGAAATAAACAGAAAATAGAGAAAGGAAGAAAGAACAAATGAAATAAAAAACGTTTTTAGAAGAAGAAAATGAAAGAAAGAAAGAAATTAGTTCTATTTTCATAAGAAGAATGGATAAATGGGAAGTGAAAAAGAAAGAAGAAAGAATGAAAACGGAAATAATCTTTTATTCTAAGAAGAAAGGATAAGAAAGAAGAAAGAAAGGAAGAAAGAAAGAAAGAAAGAAAGAAAGAGAAAGAAAGAAAAGACCGAATGAAATATAAATGAATTCGAAAAAGAGAAACAGAACAAGTAGAATGCTCAATTAGTAATGACTACATTCTACCTTTTCTCATGGTATCTCTGCTTAATTATGTCTGGCACAAGGCTGTAATAGCAGATCAAACTCTTCACACTGGCGAATAATATGCCAGACTAAGTTGTTAACCATTGCCCAATGGCAAAAGCACAGCCATTTATTATTTATGTATTCACGTGTACCGTCAAAAAAGGAATGAACATAAAAAAAATGAATTTTTAAGTTACAATGTTTGCGATATTTTTACAGTAAAAAAAAAAGTAACTCTTTTAATGTATGCTTTGGTTCGCAACCAAAATTTGTATAGATTTATTGTCGAAGACACATTTATCGTAAAAGACACTGCCATCTGGTGTCGATAGTGAAAAGGAAATCTTTGGCACCAAAAATCAGATAATATACAGCGAGTGAGAGGTAAACTGTCGCCATTTTATATTTTTAATTTCGCGCATGCGTGTTGTTTGTTTTTTATTTTGCCAACTGCACAGTATAGGGTTAGTTAATTATCGTCTGTGGGTAAAGGAGCAGCGTGACGTAATTGACTCCGCCAGAAATTTGGTAACGGGATGCTGTACTGCTTAGCATTCGTGTCGGAAGCTCCAATATAAACACTTCAGTGTGTTTGGGTGTAAATCTGAGGACAGTGCAAAGGATTCAGAAAGAGTTGGATGAGTCTAATGGTGATTACGAAGGCATTTGGAGTGATCACTAATGATGGTGACATTATAGTTTTACACAGGGCCTCAGACTCAAAACGGAAGCCTCCAACAAATCTAGAAAGAAATTAGCGTGGTAAAGGTTAAAATCAACAGGAAGTGATCACTCCAAACACCTTGGTAATCACCATTAGTCTCATCCAACTCTTTCTGAATCATCTCTAATGATTCTCTAATTTTTTCACCAACTCCTTCTGAATCCTCTGCACTGTTCTCAATATTGACACCCAAACACTTCTGAAATGTTCTTATTGAAGCTTCCGGTGCGAATACCAAGCAGTACAGCATGTAGTTTCCAAATTTCTGGGTGAGGGAATTGCATCAAGGTACTTTCACATATGGTGCCCAATTGGCCCTACTATACTATCCCGTGCATTTACATTGTCCTTTTCTGATCGCAAGCAGCTTTTTTGTCCGCATTCTCCCTTAAATGTTCCTCGTTGCTAGCGTAATCCGTTTTTGGTATTCTCAGCACTCATCTGTGACATTATTAATATACGCAATAACCGTAGTTATTCAGGGCGAGGGCTATCATGGCTCTCCACAACTACCTATTCTTTGTTACCTCTAAACAATACTCATTTCCTCTGTGTTCTGCTATCCATTTACAAAAGATCGTTTGGCAGGTTACTCGATACTTGCACCTGCCCCACTTGCTTTCACTAAGTCACGTTAGTGTCAAAATCTCCAAGCCCTCTTTCCTCATTATATGTCCCGGACATTTCCACTGTTCTTTTCTGATCCCAAGCAGCTTTTTTGTCCGCATTTTCCCTTAGAACTTCCTCGCTGTTCAAGTGATCCGTTTTTGGTATTCTCAGCACTCTTCTGTGGAACCAGGTCGCCTCTTCATCTGTGAAGACATTGACCCGCGTTTACCATCGTTTAGGAGGACTGATATCATGGAACAGCTCAGTGACTCTTAATGCTTTTTTCACTTTTCTAATGTCACGTGTGTGACAAAAGAAATAAGACAGAGAGAAGAAAAGAGAAAAAAAGACAGAAATTCTTCATAATACTTCAATCGGGTTTTTGTGGTATAGTTTACATGTCAGGTCAGCAAATGGTAGTCAAACGGGCGGCTCTGAAACAGGTTTCTACAACAACTAACTTCGCAAGCCGCTTCTCTTAATTTTAGCACAATTAATTTTTTCACCAATGAATACAAAAGCCCGGACGAATGACCTCCTCTGTGTAAGGTCATCCGACCACGCTAAAGACTTCCTTGGAGTCTTTGACCTAAGTGACCCATAACTAGGAGAAGGTTCATTTGTAAAAATGGATGTTCTTTTAGCATCCCGCTACCACTTTCTTATCAATGTTGAATTTTGTACAAATCTGTGCAAAAAGGGGATCACAGAGCTTACATACATATTTTCATTAAACCTCAGCTTCTGATTGGTCACTTAATATTTAAATCATGTCCGTATATCAATGTCGATTTCTGTGCAAAAAGTGGATCACAGAGCTTATCACGGTTCATACATATTTTCTGAAAACCTCAGCTTCTGATTGGCCACTTAATATTTAAATCATGTCCGAATACTATCGACATAGTTTTTGACCTGACAAAAAAAAAAAAAATAATTTCGCCAATTTCTCTCAATGCCTTTTTAGAGCCTCTCACGTGATTACGTTGATTATGAATATCAGACACAAATTCTTCCTCTTTTCTTGATTTCATACGAAAATGTAGCCTTAAAGGAAACTGCGTTCCGATTCCCAGTTCGGGCGGACGCTATGAAAACATATTCATACACACACATACACGTATGTAGGAAATCTTTCAAACTATATTACAAACATACGAAAGTTTTCAAACTTCATTTCAAACTACGAATATTCAACTACAAGCATTAGAAACTGATATAATGGAATATGCGTACACCTGTGTTCCCCCCTCACTGGAGTGTGATTGGCTGGTGTCCATCATAAATACCGACGGACG